AAGTTATGTGGACATGATTAGTGTTGTATGGGTTTGCATTAATATATACAAGACATCCCCCCTTTCAGAAGTATGGACTATAGCTCTTATAATCTGCAGTGGCATTGCAGGGGTTTGTGGGATCTACAGTCCACTAAATCCAAAAAGTACCATAGTAAGGAGCACTTCCCACTTTATAAATAGACTATTGCTAGCCAACTTCATCCAAGGTTGGAGCAGCTTCTCTTTCCTTTAAATATTTTAAAGGTTAGCTCTCAGAGGAAAAAAACTATTCAGCACATTTAAATAGGACTTCCTCTTAAGATTCTTTTTGTTATAATACACAATTTCTTGTATGGAACAGCTGAACATACTTTACATTCTCCAAATTATTCTTCTCTTCAGATTAGGGATATTTAATGACAGGAAAAGAGAAAGAAACAAGGAGAGAGTTAACAAAGTGGAGAAAAGTTTACGTAGAAACTTTGGGTACATCTACACTGTAAAATATAGGAACCCCTGGTGGTATGGCAGGTTAAACTGCTGAGCTGCTGAACTTGCTGACCGAAAGATCAGCAGTTCGAATTGGGGAGTGGGGTGAGTTCCTGCTGTCAGCCCCAGTTTCTGCCAACCTAGCAGTTCAAAAACATGCAAATGTGATTAGATCAATAGGTACTGCTTCGGCAGGAAGGTAACGGTGCTCTATGTGATCATGCTGGCAACATGATCTTGTAGGTGTCTATGAACAACGCTGCCTCTTCAGCAGTTTGAATTGGGGAGCAGGGTGAGCTCCTGCTGTTAGCCCCCATTTCTGCCAACCTAGCAGTTCAAAAAGATGCAAATGTGAGTAGATCAATAGGTACCGCTTCAGGAGGAAGGTAACGGCACTCCATGCAGTCATGCTGGCCACATGATCTTGGAGTTATCTATGGACAATGCTGTCTCTTCAGCAGTTCGAATTGGGGAGCAGGGTGAGCTCCCGTTGTTAGCCCAATTTCTGCCAACCTAGCATTTCAAAAACATGCAAATGTGAGTAGATCAATAGGTACTGCTTTGGCAGGAAGGTAACAGCGCTCTATGTGGTCATGCTGGCCACATGACCTTGGAGGTGTCTATGGACAACACCAGCTCTTCGGCCTAGAAATGGAAAGGAGCACCGCCCCACACAGTCAGACACGACTAGACTAATTGTCAAGGAAAAACCTTTACCTTTACTTACACTGTAGAATTAATGCAGTTTGACACCACTTTAGCTGCCAAGGCTCAATGCTATGGAATCATGAGAATTGAAGTTTTACGAAGGCTTTTGCCTTCTCTGCTGAAGAGTGCTGGTGCCTCTCCAAACTAGAAATTCCTGGATTCCATAGCATTGAGCCATGGCAGTTAAAGTGGTGTAATTCTACAGTGTAGATGCACCCTGAGTTCTGCTACACCCAATAGATTTTCCAGTAAAGAGGGGGAGAAAGGAGGAAATCAAACATCTGGAACAAACTGGCAACTGTCGGTGTTTGCTTATTCACCGTGTCTTTCCTAAGTATCCTTTCATGAGCATTATTTGGAAATGCTTCCCGAACGGGCTCTCATAATGACAGTAAATCATTAGCAGATGGGACAGTGGAGGCCAAACCATATTATTATATTTCCCGTAGTCTGCTTTTCTTTCTCTTGCCGACAACTTCTCAGGAACCCCCTTGATTTGAAGGAACAGGAAGGAAAACTCCAAGCAGAGGTTACACAAACAGTGTCTTTTGAAGAAAGAGGAATTATCCCTGAAGCAAAAAAAGGAGCCATTAGATATAAGCACAAAGGTCCTTGGGAGAGACAGAGAAGCATTCAACGCATTTCCCCCATTGCGTCAACCAACTGCTCGCCGCCTCCTTCCTCCTGAAATTCCAGGCTCCAGCCCTTCCTCCATTTCTTCAAGCCGTAAACAGTTGGGAGAACTTTTCGCCACCCATATGTCATTTAAATACTTAACACTAACTGGCTGGAACAAAGTGGCTTTTAAAAAATTTTACCCCCAAAAAAAATAAAGTTTCAAAAGCAATGATAAAAATGCAAAAAGATGCCAAACCCAGACCAACTCATCATCCCAAAAAGGGACCCTACCTACTTAATGACTGCCCAAGGCTTGCTAATAGAAGGGTAACGTTCCAAAGCCAGATGTGTCCCGGCCACAACTTGCAGACTAAAGGCGTATCTACACAATAGAATTAATGCAGCTTGGCACCACTTTAACTGCCACGGCTCAAAGCAATGGAATCCTGGGAGTTGTAGTTTTACAAGGCCTCTTCTGTCAGAGTGATAAGTGCCCCACCAAACTACAACTCTCAAGATTCGACAGTTAAGTTGTATCAAACTGGGCTCATTCTACAGTGTGCAGAGTTCTGCCGCAGAAGTTAAAGCAGGACCAAACTCCATTTAATCCTACAGTAGAGATGCACCCTCAATTCTGCAAAGGGACTTTTCAGTTCAAGGTCTCAGCATGGGTTCCTCACCAGACTACAGCTTCCAGGACTCCATAGTATTGAGAGTGGTACTGAACTGCATTTATTTACTTATTTCCTGCTTTATCTCTCCATATGGAGACTCAAAGCGGCTCACAATCATAATCAAAAACATTACACCGTAAAACAGACAAATATACAATAATAAAACAGTATATCATTATACATCATTATATTTTATCAACAGCAATTATATTGAATATATTAGTACTACTATATTACAATCTTAATATTATATATTATTTTGTATTAGTATTATATTGTATTGCATTCTAATATTATTATCAATATTATATGCATATACGGCAGATTATATTATTAGCAAAGCACTATATTAGTATTGTATATTACTATATTGTACTATACCGCTATTAGTAATATTATATGTTATATATGACATACAATGATTATATTATTATATTGCATCATTATTCATATTCTATTGTATTGTACTACAATATTATTAGCATAGCACAATATTAGTATTACATATTACTATATTGTTCGATACCGCAATACTGCAATATTAGTAATATTATATGTAATATATAACATATAATTATATTATTTGTATTCTATTGTATTGCATTACAATATTATTAATAATATTATATGTATATACAATATATATTATTAGCATAGCACAATATTAGTATTATAAATTACTATATTGTACTATACCACTATACTGCAATATTATTAGTAATATTACATGTAATACACACTATACAATGATTATATTGTTATTTTATGGTCTTGGCACCAATTGTAAGCCACCCCGAGTCGCCTGCAGGCTGAGAGGGACGGTATATATAGTACATAAATAAATAAATTTAAAAATATATTATTATATTGTATTATTATTAGTATTCTATTGTATTGCAATATTAATATTATATGTATATACAATATATTATTAGCATAGCACAATATTAGTATTATATATTACTATATTGTACAATACCGCTATACTACAATATTATTTTAATATATAATATACAAATTATAATATATTATATTATTATTAGTATTCTGTTGTATTACATTACAATATTATTATCAATATTATACGTATATACAATATATATTATTAGCACAGCACAATATTAGTATATATTACAATACTGTACTATACCGCTATACTGCAATATTATTAGTAATACTGTATGTAATATATAAAATATAATGATTATTTATATAAATAAAAATGTAATGTTCATTTGTGGCTGAATTGACACCAAATTTGGACACAATACACCTATCACGCCAACAAGTGACCATCACTCATAAAAACACTGGAAAATATAGCGGAAGAAACTTAAAAAGCCAAAAAATTAAAAAAATACATTACAACACATGCACATAACCACATATATACACAAATATACACACACACGCAAAACACATATATACAGACTGGGCCACAGCAACGCATGGCAGGGGACAGCTAGTATTATGATATATTATAATGTATTATTATTAGTGTTATTTGGTATTACATCACAATATTATTATTGATATTATATGTACATGACTTGGCTATGGTAGTCCACGCTCCAGTTACATCCCGTATAGACTACTGCAACGCTCTCTATGTGGGGTTGCCTTTGAAAACTGTCCGGAAACTCCAAATGGTCCAATGAGCAGCGGCAGCGCTCAGGGAGCACACAACTCTCTGTTGCGCCAGCTCCACCAGCTGCCAGTCTGCTTCCAAGCACAATTCAAAGTGCTGGCTTTAGCCTATAAAACCCTGAACAGTTCCAGTCCAGCTTACCTATCCAAATCTATCTCTCCTTATGAACCATCTAGGATTTTAAGATCTTCTGGGAGGCCCTGCTCTCAATCCCGCCTTCCTCGAAGATGCGTTTGGTGGGGATGAAAGACAGGGCCTTCTCAGTGGTGGCCCTTCGGCTATGGAATGCCCTCTCCAGGGATATAAGATCGGCTCCCTCCTTTCTAACATTCCACAAAATGGTTAAGACCTGGCTCTTCGAGCAAGCTTTTTCTATTGGAGCATAATTAGACGTAAACAAATATAAGGAATGACTACAATGCAACTGGACAAAGATTGTAGTAAGGAGATGCCGCGGATCTTGTTTTTACAGATATATTTTCTTTTTATATTACATTTTAAATATTGAATTGTTTTTATAATGGTTTTAACTGTATGTTGATATTTGTTATGGCATCAAATCGCTGCTGACTGCGAACCGCCTTGAGTCGCCTCTGGCTGAGAAAAGCGGTATACAAATGCAGTAAGTAAATAATAAATAAATATTATATATATATACATATATATATTGTATATACATATATATATATTGTATATACATATATTATATTATATATACTCCTAAAATAATGCATATAATATAGAGGCACCCAAATAAAGCTATGGAGAGGGGAGCTTTACTTTTGGGGTGCATCTACACAGTAGGATGAATGCAGTTTGGGACTCTGATACACCCCCAAACCCTCCAGATGGCCCCTCCTTGCTCTTTGCTGCCTTCTCACCGTGTTGTAGAGCAGGGCATCGGAGTCCACCGGTTCTGACAGCTCGCTCAGCTTCCGGTCCCAATGCAACAGGTTCTGCTCCCCACTTTCCAACACTTCCATAGCTAAGGATCACAGCCAATACCCAACGAGGGCTGGCAGATGGGATTTGGGGAGGCAAGGAAATGACACCTTTGATACCAAGTCAGCAGGAGCAGCCTTGGCCCATAAGGGAGACAGATCAATCCTCCTCCTCCTCCTACTCCTCCCTTCCCTCTGGCTGCAACTTCTCTCCTAAGGAGATCCTGCCCCCAAGACCTCCAACCTCAGACTGGCACCAGCCACAGTCGTCCCTCCAACCCCCACCACAGCTCCAGCCAATCACAGGCGGCGCTGAAGTCCCCGGCCAATCAGAACCCGCGCTGCCGTACTCCCCGTTCTCCGCCGCCCTCTCCGTTCTGACAAGTCTGCTCCTAAGGCTCTCTCCAGCTGTGGAATGTGGGCGGGGGGAACCCGATCGTACGTCACGCAAGGGGCGGGGCGTTTAGTTCCCGCCCCTTCAATCCGCTTGGGCCAATGTCTGCTCTCGCTGAAAGTTCCACAGACTCCTCGCAACATTCGGACGATTGGCACGGGTCCTAACCAATGAAATAGCGACAAGAATACAGTTTGGGGAAAAGCCACGCCCATTTGTTAAGAGCAAGATCAAAATAAACACATTAAAGGCAGGAGGGAAACCCTCTGGAAAGGGGTGGAGAAAGTGGCTGGTGTTTTGCAAGGACAGGAGGAAACTGTTGTTATTTGTTACTGTTCTTAATGGCATTTGTATGCTGCCTTTCTCATATATTGCTTTCCAAAATAATCAAATGTATTCATCCTAAAAATTTAACACAAGGACAGGAGGAAACGATTGCTGTTGTAATTTGTGATTTATTTATTTTTGTATTTGCATTCTGACTATCTCCCAGATTGGGATCCAAAGTAGCCTTCAAAACAATTTTATTACTAACTAGCTGTCCCCTGCCAGGCGTTGCTGTGGCCCAGTCTGGTGATCTGGAAAATAAAGTAACGAGAAAGTGTTGATTTCTAATATATGTAATTCCTTTATGCTTGTGAGTAACCAGCATTTCTTGTTGTTTCTTTGTCAGTGTTGATGTGGAGAGTGTCTGGTTTGCCTACTCTGGAATATGCAACATATCATAGTCCTTCTTTAAGGGTCTCTTTCAAATCTATGATACTATATCTCTCTGTGTGGAGAGAGAGAATCATATCTATCTATCTATATTTATGACTGGATGGCTCTTTGTCAGGAGGGCTCTGATTACATTTTCTTGCCCTGGTGAAGAGAGTTGGACTGGATGGCCTTAAGTATTTTCTGTTGGTCATGGGGGTCTGTGTGGAAAGTTTGCCCCATTTCTGTCGTTTGTGGGTTTCAGAATGCTCTTTAATTGTAGTGAACTATAAATCCCAGTAACTACAAATCCCAAATGTCAAGGTCTATTTCCTCCAAACTCCATCTGTGTTCATATTTGGGCATATGGAATATTTGTGTCAAGTTTGGTCCAGATCCATCATTGTTTGAGTCCACAGTGCTCTCTGGATGTAGGTGAACTACAACTCCCAAACTCAAGGTCAATGCCCACCAAACCCTTCCAGTGTGTTCTGTTGGTCATGGAAGTCCTGTATGCCATGTTTGGTTCAATTCCATCATTGGTGGAGTTCAGAATTCTCTTTGATTGTAGTGAACTATAAACCCCAGCAACTACAACTCCCAAATATCAATGTCTATTTCCATTAAACTCCATCTGTGTTCATATTTGGGCATATGGAATATTCGTGCCAAGTTTGGTCCAGATCCATCATTTTTTGAGTCCACAGTGCTCTCTGGATGTAGGTGAACTACAACTCCCAAACTCAAGGTCAATGTCCACCAACCTTTCCAGTTTTTTCTGTTGGTCATGGGAGCCCTGTGTGCTAAGTTTGGCCCAATTCCATCATTGGTGGAGCTCAGAATGTTCTTTGATTGTACGTAAACTATAAATCCCAGCAACAACAATTCCCAAATTACAAAATCATATTTTTTTTTAGTGGAGGACATAAATTGGACTGTTAGGTGTCTTGTGTCCAAATTTGGTGTCAATTCCCCCAGTGGTTTTTGAGTTCTGATGGTAGCATGAACTAACATTACATTTTTTATTTATATAGATTGTATTAATGTATTAATTAATATTATCATTATTATTAATCTATTGTTATACACATATTTTTTCATGCTAAACATTTAAAATAAGGACAGATGAAATTGTTGTTATTTGTTTTATTTATTGCATCTATATGTTACAATTCTCTCACAGTGGGTCTTAAAGTAGTTTCCAAAACAATAATAAATAAGTGTTGTTGAAAACTTTCATGGCCAGAATCACTGGGTTGTTTGTGAGTTTTCCAGGCTGTATGGCCATGTTCTAGAAGCATTCTCCCCTGACGTTTCACCCACCTCCTTGTCAGGCATCCTCAGAGGTTGCGAAGTCTGTTGGAAACTGGGCAAGTGGGGTTTATATATTTGTGGAATGTCCAGGGTGGGAGAAAGAACTCTCGTCTGCTTGAGGCAAGTGTGAATGTTGCAATTGAACACCTTGATTAGCATTTAATGGCCTTGCAGCTTCAAAGCCTGGGTGCTTCCTGCCTGGGGGAATCTTTTGTTGGGAGGTGTTAGCTGGCCCTGATCGATTCTTGTCTAGAATTCCCGTTATCTGAGTGTTGTTCTTTATTTACTGTCCTGATTTTAGAGGGGTTTTTTTAAATACTGGTAGTCAGTTTTTCATTTTCATGGTTTCCGCCTTTCTGTTGAAATTGTCCACATGCTTGTGGATTTCAATGGCTTCTCTGTATAGTCTGACATGGTGGTTGTTGGAGTGGTCCAGAATTTCTGTGTCCTCAGATAATATGCTGTGTCCAGGTTGGCTCATCAGGTGCTCTGCAATGGCTGACTTCTCTGGTTGAAGTAGTCTGCAGTGCCTTTCATGTTCCTTGATTCCTGTTTGGGCAATGCTGTGTTTGATGGTCCCTCTGTAGACTTGTCCAAGCTTCATGGTATACAGTAGACTCCTACAGAGGTGAGAGGATCCCTCTTGTCCTTTGCTGAATGTAGCATTTGTTGGATTTTCTTAGTGGGTCTGTAGATAATTTGTAGGTTGTGTTTCATTATAATCTTCCCTATGCAATCAATGGTTCCCCTAATGTATGGTAAGAACACTTTTTCTCTGGGTGTATCTTTATCTTTAGTCTTATGGCTTGTTCTTGGCCTTGCAGCGCTTCTGACATTCCACAGATAGATAAACTCCACATGCCTAGTTTCCAACAGACCTCACAACTTCTGAGGATGCCTGCCATAGATGTGGGCGAAACATCAGGAGAGAATGTTTCTGGAACATGGCCATACAGCCCGGAAAACTCACAGCAACCCAATAATAAATTAAAAAATAATAAAACTAAATCAAAACTAATAATGAACAAACAAACAAATAAATAATTGAAACAAGGACAGGAGGAACATATTGTTGCTGTTTGTTATTTATTCCAATTATATGTTGCCTTTCTCCCAGACTGGGTCCCAGAGCATCTTCCAAAACAATTTTAAATATTCATAATGACAATTAAAAAAAATTAAACCCACACAAAATATTTTAAAAACACAAGAATTAGTTCAAAAATGAATAAAATATCTGCATAATAAGTTTCCCTGCATCAGAATCTTGCTTGAACAAAATGTATTGCAAGGAAATGTGGCTTTTGTTAACTTCTTTCCTTTTGTTAATTAAACATTTAGGGCGGGGTGAACTTCTCCCTGTGGTTCCGGGTTCATTATTCCTCCCAAGGGATCTGGGAACAAAGTCCTTCTTTCTTTAGTAAGTAAAGAAAAAAGAAGAGATGACCCCACCCTGGCAGAAGAGACTAAAAAAAAAAAGCAAGACTTTTTTTTAACATCTACATGAAGCCACAGGTAGAGATCATCTGGAGTTTTGGAGTTCAGTGCCATCTGTACATAGATGACAACCAACTCTACTACTCATTTTCACCAAAAGCGAAGGAAGCAGTCCAGACCCTGAACCAGTACCTGTCAACTATTGTGGACTGGATGAGGAAAAACAAATTGAAATTGAATCCAGACAAGACGGAGGTCCTTCTGGTCAGTCATAAGGCAGATCAGGGTATAGGGTGGCAACCTGTGTTGGGTGAGGGTCACACTTTCCCTGAGACACAGGTCCACAGTCTGGGTGTCCTTCTGGAATCATTGCTAAGCTTGGAGGCCCAGGTGTTGACGGTGTCCAGGAGAGCCTTCGTACAATTAAAACTTGTGCTCAATCTGTGACTGTACTTTGAGAAGCCAGACTTGTCAATGGTGGTCCATGCCTTGGTTACATCCCATTTAGACTACTGCAGCAGGCTCTGTGTGAGGGTGCCTCCGAAGAGTGTCCAGAAACTTCAATTAGTTCAGAGATCTGCCGCCAGGTTATTGACAGGTGCTGGACCCAGGGAGTGTACTACCCTCCTGTGTCACTTTAACTGCCATGGCTCAATGCTATTAAATCATGGGAGTTGTAGTTTTAGCCTTCTCTGTCAAAGAGTACTGGTGCTTCACCAGACTGCAGCTCCCAATAATGAGTGGTTTCAAACTACATTAATTCTACCATTTAGATGGAATCCTGGATTCAACTAATTGCTGATTCATTATTCAACCTGGAAGATTTATCTTCCATCCTTGGATGATCATCAAAGAATGATCTTTAGGACAGATTAATACATACTGCAGTAATAAACTCATAACCACACGGTTAATTTCTTCCATTTAATACCTTTATTGCAATTGTAGTCTGCTCAATAAACAAAGTGCTCTGAGCAATGTGCAGTAAAAAATTAAAAGCAAAGAAATGGAAACCACAGACTGTGATTCTATAGAATGGTACATTATAACATAAAACCAGCAACAAAATAGAACAATATGAGACCAAAAACATGTTTACGTCTAGCACCGTTACTCCCACAATAAACATCCACTGGTGCCAAGAGTGAGGGACAAATTAAACCAATACTATGCACATCGTGTGTTCTTTGCTTTGGATGGAAAGTCTCCATTGATTTAAAAAGAGCTTTCTTTCCATTAAAAGAACAGGCGTAAGGCATGCCTTGGAGAAGTTCTACATGTGGTTTTGTTGTTGTGTGCTTTTAAGTTGGTCATCCTAAGGTATCAGAGGGTCACCACCCTGTGGGCTTCTATGGCTGAACAAGGATTCAAACCCACAAACCCTTTAATGGTTGAGTACAAGGGAGAATTTCAGCTTTGAAATGATTTTTTACACATGAAAGTGTTATGCACCTTTGTTCACTTGAGAACCTT